AAATATTTAGGGGATCTTAATACACATCTGTTACCTCGCACTAATGCTGCAGTTTTGAGTTGCAGTGGCTCATTTATTGGTGAAGAGAGAGAGAGAGAGAGAGAGAGAGAAAACGAGCGAAAAACAAAGCCACAAGAATGTGAGAGAGCAACAACAAATGACATTTACGCAGTTCCTTTCATGTCGGGAGAACGTCCCAAGGTGCTGGACAGTCAGAGATTTGGACCCGAGCTGGGGGTTGGGATCAGGAGGGGGTGGAGGGCGGGGAGGGTGAGGGTAGGAGGGTGACCGAAGGCCCGGTTGAAGATTAGGGTCTCGAGATGGGCCTTGAAGGAGGCGAGGGAGGGGAGCGAGGCAAAGAGATGGAGTTCCAAAGAGTGGGGGCAATGAGGCTGAAGAACACACAGTCACTACACTTTTCAATAAATCCTGTGAAGCGCTTTGAGACGTCCTCCCACCGTGAAAGCCGCAGGATCGAACACAAGTCTTAACGAAACGAAGGGGATGATCGGCAAACGAGTCCGCTGAACCAAAGTGCTAGTCTAAGTCTGGACTGCATTCAAGGACGGTTTTCTGCCTGCGGTTAAAAAAAATCAGAGGAACAGGAGGAGGCCATTCAGCCCCTCGAGCCTGTTCTGCCATTCTATTAGATCATGGCTGATCTGTACCTCAACTCCAATTACCCGCCTTTGCCCCATATCCCTTGAAACCCTGAACTAACAAACACCGTATCCACCTCAATCTTGAAAATGTCAATGAATTCAGCATCTGTAGCCTTATGGGGGGAGGGAGAGGGTTCCAGATTCCCACTACTCTCTGCGTAAAAAAACGATTTCACTCCTCAATGGTCTGGATCTAATTTTACGATGATGCCACCCTTATTCTGGAATCCCACCCCACCCCCTCACACACCAGAGGAAATAGCTTCCATATCGAATCCCTCTCTAATAATAACGCTTGCACTTGATACAGGGCCTTATCACACTTTTTTTAAAGGCATTATTACTCCTGAAAACAACCCCCCAATCGACTAACTGCCAAGTTCCTGCTTACTGCCAGGTAAACAGAGGCGTGTGGAGTAAGGAAACTTGCCCGAGGTTTCCCCCAGCCAGGGAATTAAACTCGGGTCCTCTCGTTTGCGAGGCGAGGGCTCTGACCGCAAAGGTACAGGCCTCCCTTTGTCATTTGAAACCCCTCCACGTCAAGACGGAGAAACGGGCTCCATTAAGAAGCCGAGTCTTAAGGGAGAGGATGGACAGTCCAGCTGGAGTTTGCAGAGTTCTGAGTTTGGCATTGCTAGTCATTTCTGGAAAAGTATCTAGCGCGTTCCCAATAAAGTGGTTGGCACGGGCTCAGCAACATCGCTCAAATCCCTCCTGATATTTATAAACCTTGTCGCTGGGACATTCTGTATTCATGCACAGAAAATGATTGAAGTGCTCAAAGGACAGTGTGTCCCTGTTATCACAGAACCCCCCGAGGGACAGACTTAACCCTCAGTTTGGCTTTTGCGTTTCCTGCCGAGAGGCTCTTTGTTGTTGTTGTTGTTGTTATTGAGTCCTTGTTAGCTCAGTGGTTAGAGCCCTCACCTCACAAGCGAGAGGACCTGGGTTCGATTCCCGGGCGGCTCAGGGCAAAACCTTTGGCAAGTTACTCCACACACACACACACACACGCACACACACAGGCCTCGGTGTACCTGGCAGCGAGTAGGAACCCGGTTTTTCTGGAGTAATAATCCCTCCAAGAAAAAATGCGGCCCCTCAATCCACGACATGTTTGTGGGGCACTCGTTGAGACGTCTCAAAGCGCTTCACAGAATACACTGTAAAGTAAACCGACTGTGTAGTTTGCAGCCAATTGCGCACAACAGTCATGGATTGAGTGACCAAATAACAAGACACATCCAGTCTCAATCCCACCCCACACCCCCACCCTCCCCACCCAGTGAAGGATCATATCAGAGTCATCACATATTGACTCCAATGTAATTGAGCAACTGATTGCTGTGTATATGTAAGAGTGTGTGTGCAAGACATCAAGTCCTTTTCAGGGCTTAAGAGAAGGGAAGTGGTGGGGGGTTGAGGAAGAGAGATAGAGAGAGAGAGATAGAGAGAGTACAAAGCAGAAAAGGTTTCCACGAATTACGCAGCACGGGAGAGAACATTTATAAATAAAAGGAAAGAGCAACTTTGGAATGAATATCTCAACAGTTCCAATTGGAGGCGATGGGTTCTCCTCTGGTCCAGGTCAGAGCAGAACAGGCAAAGGAAAGCCTCATCCTTCCTCCCCCCGTCCCACCTGACAGCTCAGAGATTTCTGAAGTGTAGTGAATGTAGTGTATCCTGACGCACGTCTTCCAAACCCTTCACGCCCTGGCACCTCCCAACCTCTCCGACCTGCTTACTCCCCAACCCACTACCCACTGCCACCGTCTGGCTGTCTCCGGCCTCCTGCTTGTCCCTCGCGCCCTCCTCAGTTCCACCATCGGTGGCCGCGCTTTCACCCATTACGCCCCCAAACTAGGGAACATTCTCCCTCTTCCCCTCCACCTTGCCCTCTTCCTTCCCGTCTTCAGGTCGCGCCTGAAGATCTTCCCATTCGCCCAGTGCCTACGCCATGCTCCGCCACTGTCAAGCGCTCTGGGGCGCTACGCTGCATGAGTGAGGGGCGCCGTGTAAATGCAAGTTGTTGTTGTTATTTTGTAGGTGAACTCAACAGCCAATTTGCACTCAGCAACACCCCCGAAATAGCCATGAAGTGAGTGACCCATTTTTATCTATGGTGGGGGGGGGGGAATTGTGAGCCAGGGCATGAGGATGGGGGGGGGGTTGGGGGTGGGGAGGCGAGAGAGCGAGAGAGAGCAAACGCCCTTCTCTTCTTGAACAGCATCGTGGGACCTTGAACGTCCGCCCGGACAGACATAGACGAGGAGCTTCGCTTTGACGTCTCGTACAGCAAAATGACACCAAAAAGGTTCTCAGGAACCACAACCACAGTGTGAATGAAACAACAAGAAAGAGTAGGAGATAAACTTCAATCAGGCAACGCAGGAGGCTGCAGTGTGATAACTCATGCAATAGATGGCAAAAGTGGACAGCTGTGAAGTTATAGGAAAGAGAGAGTCACACACAGAGAGAGAGAACGAGAGAGAGAAAGAGAGAGAGAGAGAGAGAGAGAGAGAGCGAGAGAGTCAAATTGACCTAGAATAGCCTGAACTGGCAGGGTTTGGAGATTGTGTAACTGAGCCCAGCCTGACCAAGCGAGGGGATTTGGGAGTAGACGAACCCAACACTCCCTGATCAGCAGAGAACCTATTTCTGTTCCTTCACCGCAGTGACGCAGAATTGATGGCTCAATCTCAAGCTCCTCTTTGCCAAGAATAACAAGTGTGTTTGTAAACATATATATATATATATATGTGTGTGTGTGTATATTTAAAAAAAAATGGGAAGAGTTCAGCGGTTACAATGTCAAACTACGCCATTGTTCAGCGCTCAGAGACGCTGCCCGGTGTGATTAGAGCTTCGAGGGTTCGATTTCCCCGGGCGGGACAAGGCGAAACCTTGGGTAAGTTTCCTTACTCCACACACACGCCTCTGTTTACCCAGCAGTAAGTAGGAACCCGGTTGTTAGTCAAATGGTGGATCGTTTTCCAAGGGAGGTGGGGGGTGGGGGGGTAACAATCCCTCCAAAAAAAATTGGTCACTCAATCCACGACTGTTTGTGGGACACTGCTGTGCGCAATTGGCTGCCGCGTTTCGCCCGCAAAATCCGCTCAGTCCATCCACTTTACAATATATCTCGTGGAGAGCTTTGAGACGTCTCAACGACGCGATAAGGTGATGTATCGAATTCAAGGATCGTTCATTCACAGGCTTGGTGGGCTGAATGGCCTCCTCCATCAACACCCCGCCCCCCCCCCCCCCCCCCGCCCTGTTTTCTTTCTGGTGTGAATATAGGTTCGTACTGTACATCACATCAAAAAGGCATCGGCGGGTTTTAACGCTAACCACATTGCAAAGGCAGCAGTGTCTGTTTGTAACATGAACTCTCTGACCTGCACACTCCCTACCTATCTGAGCAGCTTCCTGTTAGTTGCAAGAGGTGAGAGAGAGAGAGAGAGAGTTCTTTAACAATTTGGTGGATTTCAGAAATTATTTTTACTTTATTGGGATGGGGAGGGGGGGGAGAGAGAGAGAGTGTGGGACTAGTTTGTAGCTCTTTCAAAGAGTCAGCACAGGCACAATGGGTCGAATGGCCTCCTTCTGTGCTGTAGGATTCTACGATTTACTGCTCATACACAGTGTCCCTCACACAGGGTAACGTCCCAGGACGCTTGACAGTGGTACAGCCCCGGATCCGGGGGGGAGAAGGGGGAGGTGACCGTAGACGTGGTTGAATCGGAAGGTCCTCAGGCACGACCTGAAGCTGGGGAAGGAAGGGGCAAGGCGGAGGGCTAGAGGAAGAGCGTTCATAGAAACAGGAGTAGACAATTCAGCCCTTCGAGTCAGTTCCGCCATTCTCTAAGATCATGGCTGATCTGTACCTCAACTCCAATTACCCACGCTTGCCCCGAATCCCTTAATACCCCGACTTAACAATCATCTCTCCACCTCAGTCTTGAAAATGTGGATGGATCCAGCCATAATCCACAGCCTTTTGGGGGAGGGAGAGAGTTCCAGATTCCCAGTGGCCTTTGCGTGAAAAACTACCTCCTAATTTCACTCCTAAATGGACCTGGCTCTAATTTTAAGATGATGCCCCCCCCTGTTCCGGATTCCCCTAGCAGAGGAAATAGTTTCTTTATCTGTATCTACCCTATCAAATCCCGTTATTATTTTAAAAACCTCAATCAATTTCGGGATGTAGTGGCTGAAAGCGCGACCATCAACAGAACATCAACAGACCCCCAGGTTGTTCTGCGTCATCAGATAATTTCCTCACCATCAGTGGTTGGTGCTTTGAGCAGAGGATTAATATGGAAATACATGGCTTACCAGTGTGAGTACGTCTGTGAGCGTCCAGTCCATCTTCCTTTGAGAATTGAGCTCCACACTGATCACAGACAAAGGCCTTCGCTCCCGCTGGAAGAAGAGGAAGAAAACGGAGAGAGATTTAGACTTACTCAGACCCCAAACCGACAATAATAATAATAATAATCCTTGCATTCGATATAGCGCTTTTCACGTCTTCAAGACGTCTCAAAGCGCTTCACAGGAGATACTGTGAAGTGAAGTGACTATATTTTGTGGGCGAACCGCGGCAGCCAATTGCGCACAGCAGCGTCCCACAAACAGCTGTGAATTTAGTGATCAAATTACTATTTTTTTTTGCGGGGTGGGGATTATTACCCACGGGAGCTTTCAAAAGGGAATTGGATAGGTACTTGAAAAGGAAAGATTTGCGGGGCTATGGGGTAAGAGCAGGGGTGGGGGAGTAGAACTAGTTGGTGGCTCTTCCAAAGAGCCAGCACAGACACGATGGGCCGAATGGCCTCCTTCTGTGCTGTAAGATTCTCTGACTGTATGTTTCGACGACGTGATTAGGGCCCTGTATCAAAGACGAGGACTTTTATTTGAGGTCCCAAAGCCAATGCTCGGCACAATTAAACAAACCACATTGTTCAGTGCAAGGAAGGTGGCGTCTGTAGGTGACATATCAAGGATAGTTTTACGAGAGTAAGCCTTTGTTTGTAAGGTTGATGGCAGCTTTAAAAGGAGCAAAACAGGAAATTGGGTATCAGATAAGCAAGCCAGATCTCAGAGAGACACACACAACTGAAAACACCAGACTGCACACAACTTCAGAAATGGGGAGGCTAATGAGGCACTTCACACACACGCACAAAACAACAGAATGTCTGAGTTGTAAATATTCTTTTGTTTGCAAAAACTGCGGTATTTTTGTCAGTTCGTCATAATCTCTCCACTTGTCTCATCCGTGTTCGTTAGTTCATTCAACTCATGAATTAATTGATCCATCGAATTTATAACGACAACTTATTATTATAATATTATAATAACATGTCTCATCCACGTTCGTTATTTCATTCGTCCATCCATTTAACCGGTTAATTAATCAGTGATTTAATTAATTAGTCCATTTAACTGCGTTTCACCCATAAAATGTACAGTCAGTTCACTTTAGATTATACTCTGTGAAGCCTTGAGACGTCTCAACAACATGATAAGGCGCTATATCAAGTGAAAGGGTTATTATTATTGTTAACCATCTATCCAATTTTAACTGCGGGGGGGGTGGGATTGTCGGTCAGGAAACCAGAAAGAGAAACTCCCTTCTCTTTCAATAGTGCCATGGGATATTTAACACCCACCTGAAGGGGCACAGACAGGACTTTGGTTTAACATTTCATCTAAAGGACAGGGCCCTCCACCCATGTTTATACCTCCAATACTGCGCCAGCCTAGACCATTACTAGCTCAAAGCCCCCACCTGGGACCTGAACTCACAACCTTCTGACTTAAGAGGCGAGAGAGAGTGCTATAACTGAACCAGGCTGGGTCCTACATCAAGGCGTGGAGAAAAGGCACTAGGAAACAATAATAATACTTGCATTTGATATAGCGCCTTATCACATCTTTGAGACGTCTCCCGACGTATTTTGTGAGCGAAACGTGGCAGCCAATTGCTCACAGCAGCGTTCCATAAAATCATGGATTGAGGAACCAATTTAAGGGATCATTACCCCATGGAAAGTGATCCGCCAATCAACTAACAATCCTTACTGCTGGGTAAACAGAGGCGTGTGAGTGGAGTAAGTAAAATTGTCCAACATTTGGCCCTGCCAGGAATTGAACACAGGTCTCTCGCTTGCGAGGCCAGTTCTCTAACCACTGAGCTACAGGACTCCACGTCAATGGTTGGGGGAGGGAGATAGGAGGACCATTAGAAGCCTGGCCCCTCAGAACCTTAAACCCATGGGGAAAGCTACTGACATGTGTCCTATAGAAAGCAGCGGTCGTGTTGCATCAGTAACTTGGACTCGGAGAATGTTTTTCAGCTGGAGTTTGGCAAAGGGTTGGCACCTTGCTTCATAATCCAAAACAGCCGAACACATTCCTGAACCCAAGCCCTGACTAACACAGCTCCATCGGACTTGTTTTTGAACAATACTGGGGACGTCTAATAAATTCTGCTGTGGGGTAAAGGAGGTCGGAGGCAACGAGGGGGGGCGGAGGGGGGGGGAAAGTTTGGGGGGAGGCGGGGGGGATATGGCCCCAACTGTTACTACCCGTTAATGGGCTCAGGAGGACTATGATGCTGACTGACGCAACTTTCCTCAGGGATAAAGTTTCCAGGATTTTTTTTTCGATGAGAGAATTGGGACAAGTACACAACAAACAAACCGAGCATGCAGGCAAGGGCAAGGAGGGGGGGGGGGATTGGGTCAAAATTGGGTCAGAATGGATAAGGAAGGAATGGAAAGCGCTACGTAGGAAGGGAGGGGCTAAAAGATCTCTCGGATGTCCTGCCGCCCACCGTCCCACCTGCCCAAAAGCGGCTAATCCAGACCTGGCGATTTAATAATAATAATAGCAATCGTTGCATTTGATAAAACGCCTTATCACGTCACTGATATATTGTAAAGTGTATATTTTGTGGGCGAAACATGGCAGCCAATTGCACGCAGCAGTGTCCCACAGACAGCCGTGGGATTGAGTGACTGACCAAACTCCTTTTGGGGGGGAGCGGAGATTATTACTCCTTGAAAACGATCTGCCAATCGACTAACAACTTGCTGCTGGTAAACGGAGGCTTGTGTGAGGAGTAAGGAAACTCGCCTAAGGCTTCGCTCTGCCCGGGAATCGAAACCGGGTCCTCTCGCTTGCGAGGCGAGGCCTCTAACCGCGACGCTACGGTTTGAGCCCACTTAATGAAATTGGACGAGGCTTCTTTGACACAAGCGCGAGAGGCAAAACACCGGGTTTCCACTTGGAACAGAAATTCCAGGAGGAGGTGTCAGCGTCTGCTACTTTGTCCAGTTGTTAGTTCAAACCTCCCCCCACTTTCTCCCGAACGTTATGTTAACTGCTTCGCGATCACCTTCCTGACAATCTCGCACTACGAGATACCATTTCGAGCAGCGATCCCCAACGGTGGACAAACAGAGAATTCCTCAGGCACGTCTCGCCCACAAAGAAATCAAGCACAGTTTTCTGAGAGCCCAGAACTGAATCTCACAGAAGTTTTATTATGGAGAGAGGGAGAGACACTGATACAGACGCACTGAGTTCACAGCAGAATACCAGCCCAGAGCTTGAGCCACACTTCAAAGCCCAAATTCTAAACCCACTTTACCCCTTTCCTGATCCTTGGCGCCGTTTAGCATTTCATACTTTGTGTGTCAGCCTGGCTCAGTTATAATAATAATCCTTGCATTTGATATAGCGCCTTATCACGTCATCGAGACTTCTTAAAAGTGCTCCCAGAGTATATAGTAAAGTGGATTGACTGCAGTTGGCAGGGCTCTCGCCTCTGAGTCAGAAGGTTGTGGGCTCAAGCCCCCGTGTCGGGACGTTGAATTCATTGTCTTGGCTGATATCCAATGCAGAGCAGGGCATGGGTGGGGGGTCATGGGTGGGGGGTCATGGGTGGGGGGTCATGGGTGGGGGGGCATGGTTGGGGCGGGTGGAGAGGGGTCGTGGGCGGTGGGGGGAGACTCGGAGGAGACCTGGCAAGTTGCGCACAAAACACACGGTCACTGCACTTCGCAGTGAAAAGGTCATCACCTTAACAAAAACGACCCTTTGCCTAATTAAAATTCTAATTGCGTTCTGCGCGGTATAAAAACAGATTAAAAAAAAGGTATATAAAAAGATTCCTCAAGTTTCATTCCTGTAAAAGGACTCCACCCTAAAGAGAGCGTCATTTTTTTTTGCAATATTTGCCTTCTTGGGGAATGAGTACACTGTGTGCTCGGACACAGGACCCAAAAAAAGCAAGCAGCAAGTACAGTCAGTCCACACTCCGAGCACTTCATGTTGGGTTCGGCTGTTTATTTACTGTATCTCTTATCAGACTCCTCGCGGACTGCCAATTTCTGAGGCCAGGACTGAGTGTTCTCTCTGTGGACAGTCGGCAGCGAAACCATCCCGCGCCAGGATAAAAACACACGGCGAGCCAGCCAACATTCCTGACGGGAAGGGAGAGGAAGCGTGGAAGGGAAAATGTGCTAAAGGCTATGTACACATATGTCCGCAACGCCCCCACCCCCACTCCCCACCAGGAGATCGTTACAACGAGGTTCCAAAGTTGAACGTTGCAGACGTAAATGTGCACACGCGCCACATGGACAGAACTCCTGTAGCTCAGTGGTTAGAGCGCTCGTCGCAAGTCAGAGGACCTGGGTTCGATTCCCGGGCGGAGCGAAATGTTGGACAAGTTTCCTTACTTCACCCACACGCCTCTGTTTACCAGCAGTGAGTAGGAACCCGGTTGTTAGTCGATTGACGGATTGCTTTTCCGGTGATAATCAATCCCCTTTTGTTAAAAAAATAAATGGGGTCACTCAATCTCCGACTGTCTGTGTCGGACGCTGCTGTGCGCAATCGGCTGCCGCGTTTCGCCCACAAAATACACAGTCAATCCGCTCGAGAGTATGTTCTGTGAAGCGCTTTGAGACGTCTCAACGATGTGTGTGATTGACTGTCGAGTGTAGTGACTGTGCTTTGTGGGACAACTTTACTACAACAACAACAAATTACACTCGTGCAGCGCTGGACGGTCAAGGATGTGCACCCGAGTTAGGGGGTTGGGATCGGGAGAGTTGGAGGGCCGGGGAGGGTAGGGTAACAGGCGCAGTTGAAGAGAAAAGCGATCCACCATCCCGCCAACAACAACCAGGTTCTTATTTGCTGCTGGGTAAACAGAGGCGAGTGTGTGGAGTGAGGAAACGTGCCCAATGTTTTACATTGGCCGGGAATCGAACCCAGGTCCTCTCGCTCGCAAGGCGAGTGCTGTAACCGACACGGTCCGGGACGCCACGTAATTTACCCACATAATGAGATGCCCTCTCCCACCCACATCACACCGCAACTCTCACAACAAGTCCCGGAAGCGAAGG